AAGATTTTCTTGAATAACTTTTGTTCTGAAGGTCATAGAGACTTGGAAGTTGGTTCCATCAGAACTAATGTGGGGATGCCCGATCCATTGGTACCATCCCCGAGCTTCTCCGACCTCCGGAGGGGGTCAAACCACCAAATCTCAAAGAAAAAGTACAAGATATTTTTGAATAACTTTTTTTCCAACTAGTCATAGCAACACGACGAAGATTGATTCGTACACAAGTTAATGATTCTGTTGATACTCTTGGTTGAAGCATCTGAAACGATACAAAGACAGCTACAGCAGTGTGTGTGTGCGTGTATTTTATGTGGAAGAGGGTGAGCTGGACTGACAGGTTGTAAAAATATTGTGTTCTTCCTCATTTTCCTCTTCTTGTGAGCATCTTGCACATGAAACAGAAAACTTCTGCACAGATTTCAAAACACCAGAGGTGGTTTTGGATAATACCCAACTGTTGTGGATTACAGTTCAGATTAAAGGAGTTTCTGTGTCACCAACAGTCATGAATGTGGTTTCTCAATGTGGATTACAGGACTTTATTTGAAGTCATGCTTCTGCTACACCCTGCGATAGGGGAAAGATTCTACGGGGATACAATCAACCCCTGGCTATTCATAACTATACATCAATGACATAAATTTTATGGTTTATTTCAAAATAGTAAAGTTGTCGTCTACAAACTGATGGTTCTTTAAAGTTACTGTAATCAGTGGATTCTAAGGTCAAAACCTGAACACTAATCAATCTTCTTGAGAATTTACCAAGAGCTCAGCTCTATAGGAGGGGAGCTGCCATTAACAGGAATGGCTGAGAGATGCATCTGACTCAAAGGAGGTGACTCAGTAAAGTGCTTTATCAGCAGGCGTGGGACAGCTGCCCGGAGAGAATCAGAAGTTAAGCGTGTCTCCTCGTCACCATCTTAATCAGCCTATCAGCCTGAGAAACTTTAATAGGAGAGTGTTCTATAAGGCTTAACACTGAGCCTTTACTTGAAGTTCTAATACCCCTGTTACCCTGGAATCAAACACGACAGCCGTTCACTTCAGGAAAGTCCGATCAGCACCGTGATGATTGAATGATTCAAGTGTCTTTTTCAATGAGGTCTTATCCACACTGACCAATATGGAATAACCAGAGCTGTTCATCATAGGCAATGCTGCAAAAGTAAAACACAAAAACAATCTCATTTTCATAATTTTAATTACAGAATACTAAAAATAACATTACATAAAATGTCTTTTTAAAAGAAACCATTGAATATTACAAAGGTTGTAAATTTTGTAAAGTTAGGATATAAAATCTTTGAACAGTGGTGCATAATTGAAAAGAAAAATAATTTTCATAAAATGTATATATTAACTGTTCTACTACATAAAAATGAGATGGACACAAATTGCAGACAGATGAGATGAGTAGACACCGCCATTACTGCAGTGATCTCTCCTTTTGAAGGAAGAAAGACTTGAGATGCACAGCACACACCACAATCAGCTTAAGTTCTCAAGTTATGCCTATGTTCAAAAAAAAAAGGGGAGAGGTTGGTGTCATCATTTACAACAGAGGAAAACAAACAGGCTCAAGAGACTTAAAAAAAAGTGACTTGTTGACTGCTCCCAATATTCACACATCTCGATGGGGTAAAAACCCGACTACACTGGCCTTGGTTCCATAAACACATACCGTTTTCCACAGGTTTAAGCTGTACAAAGAGTAGCAGAATGAGAAACCTCATACTTTAAATCATTCCACCGAGACGGGGAAATCATAATCAGTTGTCTTTCAGTCTGCTAACGCAGCCGTTCCTATATTCCTACTGTACAACTGCTCAGTCAGATCCACTGAAAGCTAACATGGTCACATAATTCATATCAGGAGGTCAACCTTAAAGAATTGGAATAGACTATACACAAAAAAGGTCGGGGGTGAGGGAGGGTGGGCATGCATGCATAATCCATCAGTGTGCTTGCTTTCTTTCTCTTCTCTGAATTTGACGTCACCCTGTGGCACATCATCGTGAGCCCTTGTTAAGATGTTTTAGTCAACGCCACAGATTCACTCAAAAAGAATCACCAGTCGAGGACATTCAGCGTCTGTCCGTCCACAGAAGTCTCTCTACATGTATGACACACTGGCCAGTCGTGTCCAAACAGAGGTATTTCATGCGTCTCCTGCCGTTTGAGACGTGTCATGTCACATTTTTGGTAAACAGACACCGATTTTTAATTTTTGGGAGATGGAGGGTGTACAGTTCATTAAGATGGTGTTTTTAAAATGTCTAAGATATAGTTTTAATCAAGAGTTACGCTGAGTGGCAGAATCACTGTTCCTTCTATGCAGTAGTAGTGGTTTCAGTGGCCCGTGAAGACCAGGTGGAGAAACGCAGAGGAGGAAAAAAAAAAAGAACAAGAGATGGTAGGAGGGAAACAGACTATAACCCCGAGGACATCTCACAAGATGAACAACGTCTCAGACAAGAGGCATTTTGGAGGAAATGAGGCGAGAGACACCAGCAGAGCTACGTGGTTTGGCTGGTCTGTTGCTCAGACAGCTGTAGTTTCTTTCACCAGGGATCCAGGAGCTGCTGCTTATCATGTAAGCTAATAATGCTGTTTAGGTTCAGATAAGTCCCCCTGAGTTAGTGCACACATCAGAGTCAGGCAGGCCTTGCCCGCTTGTACATTAAGAAATCCACAAGAAGAAGCAATAAGGAATAATAAAATCAATTCAGCTATTTCATGATTAAGCTTACAGTTAGCTTTGGAGAGAAAGAGCCCGTTTGTAGTTTTACAAATCTGTGACAGGGGAAGGACTGAGTCAGTGTTGTTAGTGTGGAGGGTGAGAAAAGGTTCAGTTGAAAATACGGCAGCTCCTGCAAAGCGATGCAGCCGATCTGTGAGTCCTGCTCATTTCCTGAAAACACTGAGAAGTTTGCTGTTTGCGTTATCAACATAATGTGTGCTATGTAGTGCCCAACCAGAGACTGGGGTTGTGTTTGTTTGAGCGTGCTCACACTTAAATCTGACATCTGACATGATTCTCAAGTGGTCGTTGGCGCAGGTCTGCCCAGCAGGCGAGTGGTCGGGGGTCTGGTCGGGTGCTGGTGTTGCAGGTCGCGCTGACTGTGCGTCAGTCAGACAGGTAGGTAGACAGGCAGGTGGGGTGTAACGGGATTCGGGCGCTGAGGCTAAATCAAAGGGGCCGTGTCCATCAAGCCTTTGTTGGGGTCCAGGCTGGCGAAGAAGCGCACGTCCCGGTCTTTGTCAGACTGCAGCGCCATCACAGTCTCTTCAAGCTCATCAGAGTAGGCACAGCCCGGCTCCTTAAAATAAGCTGTAGACCAAGAACAGGACAAGAGTTCCTTAGTTTGATGTATGTGTGAAAGAAAAGGAACAGAATAATATGAGGAATATGTTTGCTTATATGCATATAAAGCCCTTTTACCACTAGTAAAAAAAAAAACAACCTACAAACACCCACTAACTTCTGGCTTTTGTCTCGAATGAAAATGGATCCAATCTGACATCACTTCTGTTCGAATGACTCTGCAGTAAACAGGTTTTTATCAGCTCCGATCAGCAGAGATGAAAATGTGATACCCCGGCCATTGAAACATAAATAGCCATGACATTTCATCCTTTTTTCTTTTTTACATTCACGTGCAACAGAGATTGTTTTCTTCATATTATTGAAGGGGCAGCACTGGGAACACAGTGAGGTGACAGAGCTGCTCAGTTTCTGGCACATTCATGACGTTGAACATGAATCACCGGGGGGGAGGGGGGAAGGCAAGCTACTATAAAGGCAATGGCAAAGGAGTCTTTTTTAGCAAGCAATTAAAAGTAGCTGAACCTAGGATGTAATGTAAAACTTACAAGTTCGGAGTTTTACAGGGAATTATCGTCTGTAATGTTATCAGTGCATTTTCCAAATTGTAACTACTCCTTACAGTTACAGGATTAACTTGCACTAACCTTTCTCCATGACACTCTGTCGTAGAGCCTTGGCTACAAGTACACGGACGTTAGCCACTGGGTCTGATGAGAGGCTGAGGAGGCTGGGCAGGAGGTGCTGGCTGAACTGCTCCATGGGCATGCAGTCCTCCTCCACTATGGCCTAAAACAGGAAACATATAAGATGTTATTCAAACAGGCTGATGCAACAGAGCTTATCTCACACAGGCTAGAAAATACAACAGAGAAAAAAATATGTCATCGGAGAGAAATGTTGACAAACAGGCTAGTGAACAAAGAGTTTTTCCACGATGTCATCCAGACAAAGCTGAAAGCATAAAGATTATAACAGATAAGAATGTGACTAACATCACTACATAACTAGAGAGCTGGTGTTTTGTTTGTATAAAGTATCGGTCAAAAAAAGTGTGTTTTAATGAGAAATCCAAAGGAAATAGCATCAAAATATATTAAAAAAAACATAAATGATATGAAAACTATTTCTTTTTACTTTCTCATTTAATTTCTATTCGCCAACAATTAAAGACGCACACAAAAAGCTAAATACAGATTTAAAAAACAGGTAGGGACATGACATGGAAGCTGCTAATCCACCATGTGGTGCAAAGATGTGAGAGTAACACAACAGACCTGACAGATGAAGGCAAAAGCCTGCCTCCCGACCCACTTGGGACAGTGGCAGAACCTGACGGTGAGTTCGTTGATGAAGTTCATGCCCAGATCATCGGCACCACATGCATACAGCTTCTGGAGGATCTCTACAACCTGAAGACACAGGAGGAACAGTTCAAAATCTACTACTAATCTACTATTAATCTACAGGAAAAAAACTTATTTTTAATGAAAGTTGTTTGTGAAAAATGTGCAAGTCAGGCAATTGACTTGTTGATTAACCCCGTCGAAATATGAGATGGAACTATGCCGTTGGTAGATGCTAAACTGAAAGCTGCAAAGATTGAAAGCTTCACAATATCGAATGTGTTTCAAAGAATAGTTTTAAGATTTTAAGAAATATACTTCTCATCATCATGGGAGAATATTTAGTTGAAATTATTTGTATTCTATTTGAAGATCTATGCAACAAATATGAAACGTATATGAAACTATGAAGCCAAGCTACGATGATCAAATAAAACCATGTCAGGACTTTTTTTTCTCACAACATCATCCAGCTGTGTGACTCATTTCCCTTTTGTATTAGATTTTCCATTGTTTATGCTAACCCAACCATGTATAACAACAGCCATGTTTTTTTTCCAAAGCAGATGTTCCCTACGCCAGCAGAGGAAAAAAGAAAAAGAAAAGAAAACTTACCAGTTTGTATGAGATCCACCTGACCTCCGAGACTTTGTCAGAGCAGAGTGTGAGTGCTATCTGTCTGAGGTAGTCATACACATCGTAGTGGCTGTACAACTCTATGATCATGATCAGCTGCCTGGACGGAGACAGCGAGACACAAGGGTTATAAAAACCTACAGGTGAGTAAAGTAACCAAAATAAGATAAACTTAAAAATAGGCTGCTGTGGATAGAACCTAGTAAATAAACAGCTTAATAGATAATGACAGTTAACTGCAGAATTAAATCTACCTAGTACACATTGTATTGCAGGAGAATGTCCTGCCATTCTGTCAATCAGCAGGACACTGATTAGACAACAGTCTGCTAAAAATGTAAATAATTATTTCCAAAATCCTTCCTGAGGAAGAGGAAAAGGAGACGTACTCTGCCAACTCGTATCTGAATCTCCAGTTGCGACTGTTGTCTGTCACCATGAACTCCTGCAGCTGGTACAGATATTCTCTCCTCTTATCTGCATGCAGCAGCTGAAACAAGGAGATGCACATTAGTTATATTTCATAACAGGTTCAAAGTCACTTTTGTAATCATGTTGCAAAATGTTCTTGCTCTGTGCTTTCTGATCTTGAGACAGTTTGTAAAAGCTGACAGAACTTACTACTGTTGTCACACCAGCAGTAGATTAATCTATAAATCTTACCTTGAGGAAGTCATACAGATGTTTGAGCACGCCAATGCGGACCTCGTCCAGGTCTTTGAGGAAACCATTGAAGATGGGAACCAGATCAGCCGCCGTCAGCTGGTCTCCCAGGATAACGGCCAGCTCGTGAATGGAGAACGCCAGCGTACGCCGCACCTTCCACTGAGAGCGGGAGAGAAACACCAAAGGATTACAGCCAATTATTTTTTCAATAGAAAAACCACAATTGTTTTTATAATAATTGATAAGGTAGTAAATTAAGTAGGAGAAATTACTGAGAGAAAGGTCATGGAGCCATAGTACTCCACTGAAATCTTGTCAAGATAACATTGACATTCATTAACCCTAATGACAAAAAGCCCAGAGCTCCAAAGTCAAAGAATACTTATCGTTGAGCTGAAATATTTTAAAACAAGGTTTATTTGCAACAATATTTCTGACAATTAAAGTTTGAATCCAGTTGAAACAGCAAACGTAAACCCACTCCTGGTTTCCCATTGCTCTGCTTACCTGCACATCAGTAGCGAGGGTTTCATATGTGTCCTTGAGGCAATGCCAGTTCTGTCGTCCCAGAGTGAGAGCGACCCCTGGCAGGCTGAAGGCACAGTGTTTGGCTATTTCTGTATCCACCGTCTGGGCCCGGGCCGGGTCCGTCATAGAGAGGTACTGATCCAACAGCTGCTGCGGGATAACATTCTGGAGACAGAGCAGAAGAATAAAGATCAACAAAGAGGAACAGGGATGCACAGGGAGAATGTATTCAATAATCCGTGCCTCAGCAAATCAATAGCAACAGTAAGGAGCAGATCAATATTTACAGGATGAGTGAGAGTGGTGCTGACTGACCTGAACCTTAGGCTTGTCCTCCAACACTGGGCTGTGAGCCAGGTCTTCCTTTCCTTCCTCCTCCACACTCTCTATCAGTTCAGACTCCTGAGAAAAACAAATATTCACAAACAGACCATTAGGGAAAAAACAAGCGAGGTACCAATGAAAGATGTTAACTTACTGTCTGTAAATACACAAGACCTGCACTAATGCTGCATTTATAATTGTGTATAAAGGCTGTTGAAGCTCTTTGAAAAGAAAAACAACATAATGTTATTTCTGGAAGTCTATCCCAGTTGTAGAAACAATCTTTGGATTTGCTATGAGACAATGAAGGTCAGTTAACCATCCTGAGTCAGGACAGTCCCGTAAACTGTGGTGGATGCAAACAAACACTGTAATGATTCACTCTGCAGTTTATGGGACTGTTACTCAAAGGCGCTCACACAGCAGGTATCATCTATGCTACATTTGTGGATGTTGTAACTGACTTAACACAAAGTAGATGTTTTTTACACTTCACGCTGAACCAGTTACAACAAGTAACCACAACATACACTTGGGCAAATGTACATGTTGACTGACAAAGTAAAGTTGACTGTACACGATGCAATAATCTGAATAGCGCCATACTAGAATAGGTGAGTTAGGCCGAGAGTCGTCCTGGTCCTCCTCCTGAGGCTCAGTCTGCGTCTCCTCATCTCCTTGCTCCTGGACGGGGCTCGACTCTGAAGCTGGAAGAGTTTCCACCATTGGCTCCTCTTCTGTTGGGCTCTCCTCGCTGTCTGACTGAACCTCCGCAGATATGCTGTCCTCAGATGGGCTCTCCATGACGCTCTCAGGCTGCACTTCTGACTGTGGTTCAGTTGGGCTGTCGTCTGTCGGGCTGTCGTCTGCTGGACTATCGTCTGCTGGACTGTCGTCTGCTGGACTGTCGTCTGCTGGACTGTCGTCTGCTGGACTGTCGAGCTGGGCGGCCTTCAGAGCTGCCGACAAAACCTGGACTTGAGCTAGAAGTAAATTACAAATGCAAAATTTATTCCATTTGCCAACAGATGATCAAGATGTAGTTCACAAATCCTCGGGCTCTGTGTGCTCACCTTGTACATCAGGATCGTCCATGTGCGGTTGCAAACAGTCTAAAACCTTCTGGATCTGGTCACTAGTGGCGTTGCCATGATTGGACTTGGATTCAGGACAGTTATCCTCAGGTTCATCCTCCTCCCTCTCTTTATTTTCCTCCTTCTTTGTCACAACCTCTGACTTTTGACAACTTAGCATCTCCAGTTCCCCACTGATGTCTGGTAAAGGAGACCTCCAGTAGTTGAAAGAATTAAAGTTCTCATCTGTCTTGTCCGTCTCTTTTGTGTTCTTAGCATTGTTTGTTTTCATAGGGCTGTCATTGCGGTTTGAGACGGTGTTGGTGTAACTGCCTGGCCTCTCTCCGGTAACTGAAGCGTGGTTGTCATCAAAGTTGTGCATATACTCATTGTCGGCTGACGACACATGTTCTGGGGACGGTGTTGCACGCCCGTCCTGGTTGGGAAGTGTGTGAGCGACGGTTCTTTCTGTGTGGCAGCCACTGATGTCAGAGCAGTTCAGGGAGTTGAGGGAGCAGTCGCTGAAATGAGTAACAAAATGTATTGAATGACTAATACTTTTATTTTTATGTAGCTTATCTGGTCATTAGCCATTAGTTGTAAATGTTGTGCACAAGCTACACTACCCAAAGGCAAGAGTGAAAATGTTTCTAGTTCTGAGTTCAAAAAACTCGCCTGTCCTGATTAATTAGTGTTGACACAAACTTGTCTAGTACCAAAGCATATTTTATTAGCTTCTGAACAAATACTCAATAAAATTACAACACAGTCTTTGGCCATTGAACATGTACAGCATTATTGTTTCACTGAAAGAAACAACAGGCTGTTGTTGCAGCAGTGATTGTGGGTTGGGCCGTCTTACCCTTCCATTGTACATCTGGGGAGCTCTAGTAGGGAACCGTCCTCTCTGAAGTAAAGGCCTGTGCTGGATGGGTTGGCAAAGGTGGAGATGAAACGTCCCAATGACTGAAAGGCAGCTTGGCGCACCTGGAAGTGGAGCAGGGAGGAATCTCTCAGTTTCACAGTCACTACAAAGATGTACAGTAAGACTAAACTTAATTTAGACAAAACTTTATCTTCATAGCATCTTTCATACAGGTTAGTGCCTCACAGATGACGGAGTAGTAAATAAAACTGAAAAAATGTAGATTGCAAGTAGTTAGGTATTAATGATTAATGAATTTCTGCTCTTGTCTATTGATTTACTCAAATATTATACAGATGTTGACACATGCAGTTATCTTTGTATTTCGGGCTATTTTGGTATAAAAAAATGCAGCTTTAGTCTGTACAGACTTTAAAAAACCCAAAATAGTGATAAACACTCCAGTTTTAGAGATTTTTGTTTGAAAGTTTACAAAAATGCAAGTAAAATAAGTTTTAGATTTCACTTAACAGAAGTAAAACAAAAACAAAAAGTGTAGATAAAATCAATGTACACAGTTCAAACAACAACTAAAGGACAGCACTGAGGTAATGAAACTTACTCAACTCCAAAGCTAAACCACACCAGCACTTTTCATCATAGTGCAGAGGAAGTTACACATTAATGTGCATGTAATTTTATGCAACTGCATGAATAAGGATTTTTTTGTTTTGTTTTATTGTGTGTGAGATTGTGTGTGTGTGTGTGTGTGTGTGTGTGTGTGTGTGTGTGTGTGTGTGTGTGTGTGTGTGTGTGTGTGTGTGTGTGTGTGTGTGTGTGTGTGCGCGTGTGTGTCCTACCCAGCGGGACTGGTCACTGATGAGACTGATGAACAGGGGGGACAGTTTTGCACGTCGCACCTCTGGAGAGGTGGAATTTGAGACCATCATGAAGCACTCAGCACAGGCTTTCCTGATCCCCCACAGACTGTCTGAGCACAGATCGAAGAACTTGGGCATCTACGTATAAAGAAAAAACAAGTGAGTACAACTTTAAATTAACAACCAACTGTAAAAGGCATGACAGCAATCAGACTAACTTTGACGCACTAAATGCAATGTTCCATGCTAAGTATTGACTCAGGAAAAGCTTGACGAAGACTAATGTTTAACTTGCATGTTGCATAATGACATAAATGTAAATATGTGATGAACATGGAGTCTCTCACCAATAGTTTCTCTGTGGCTTCCTGGCCCACAATAGAACAAAACTCGCCAAAATTTGCTGCACAGACCTGTAAGTAAACAATAATAATACAAACATAATAAATACAATGATGTAAAATTAAACGGCTAGATAAACATTATGTGAGTCTCAAGAGCATGATACATCCAGCAACAATAATAGGAAAAATATATGTTTTTTAAAAACAAAATCGATCAGCGGGTTGTTAAATTCCTTCCAACTCAAATCTGAGTAGGATTGTTCTATCTGCTGTATGATATGGTCAGGTGGCCATTGCAAAACAACATGAGCTGTGTAAATTTGTTTTCTGCAATGTCCCGGTTGTGTGTATTTTTCTGCATGCGTTATTTATGTTGCTGTGTTAAGAGAAACATCTAACATTCTGGCATTTGGAAACTTTTTTTTAACTTTTTAACACAGCAAACTCTATTTACAAAACTTTACGCCTAATCCTTAAAATACTATTTTCTGCATTTTCTCTGCAAATCATCTGCTTTGGATTCATCTATGTAAAGTTGTATACAGTGCTGTTTGAAAACTTTCACTGAATGAAACAAACAAAAGTGGTGGAAAAGAAATGCCACTTTTTTATAGAGCTGAACAGAGTTTGACCACCTTTCTAGATCTTAAAAAACTCTTCTCCAACTGGCACCAGTTAGACCACAGAATTAACATTCCTTAGGAAACAACAGTGTAGTGTGGGCTAACTTGATGAACAAAACAGAATTAAGCTAAACTCTTGGAGTTATTGAATTTATCCTCATGGAACACCCAAAACATGGTTTAACTCTAGCTCGAACAAGTTGAGCCATGTTACTGCAGGTTAAAAAACTGAATATGTCATTGTAGTAGAGTATAATTTAGTCATGTCAGACTGTTAAAACCATCTCGATCTATAAGTTGGAAGTTATAAATATGGTTTGGAGGTTGTCACCTTGCGGACTTGGAAGAGTCTGGCATCACTGCAAAGGTCACAGAAACGTGGCAGTAGCAGATGCTCCACTGTGTCTTTGCTCAACATGGTGACAACTTTACACATGATCTGTAAGAGGAGACATATGGGGAGCATTTAGTGCCATCACAACTCATACAGCGCTTCAATTACCTGACTATTCTGGTGACTAAAAATTAGCAGAAGATTTGTGAAAGTAAAAAAAACCATCACAAAAATCTAAAAAATGTGCCACAGAGGGAGAATCCATCAGGGTGTATTAGGAGTGGAGAGGAAGTGTGTGTGTGTGTGTGTGTGTGTGTGTGTGAATTGTATAGGATGTGGAGGACTGTGCTTCAGGAGGCTAAATCTGATTTAAACTGAGTAGAGTGAATTAGTGAATAGTGAATACTGTAAAGTAAATAAGAGAGGAAATATACAACCAATTTAAATTGTGAATTAAAATGTTTGACAGTTTAATAACATGACAGATTTAAACTTATATAATTCAAAACAATCTCTGCAGGCATCAGTCATGCTCCATTTACTGACTTAGATACAGGCACTGACAGATCACCATGAAGCTATAAAAGAAACCCACTGTGCCTCCCGGGCTGCATCGGACATGCACCTACAGTATACTAAAGCTGTCTTCTTAGTCTAAAAGACTTCTTCTTTGTTTGTCTTGTACCATGTGCATCAGTTATATTTCACTCAATCTTTATCCCATGATAATGAATTAAAGAGACTTTAAAATACATGAACTGTGGATATTCTTACTGCAACAGCCTCTATTTTGTAGTCATCATCACTGCTAGGTTCTGTAAGGTCCAGCAGAACTGGACATACTTTGGTCTCCATGTCAGCTTTAGAGATGAGGCCCTGCTCCAACAGAACGAGCAGGGCTGCCTGGCTCGTCTTCCGCACCTTATAGATATAAGCAGGGTAAAAACAGTTTTTTTTTTAATAATAGATCTGTTTGTTTAAAAAAAAATTTAATATGTTTAAACTTAATTGTTTATGAGAAGTGATTGTTAATTTTTTTTAATTTTCTATGTCAGCTTGACAACTGGTAAATTACAAACCTACCTGGTTATTTGGATCAGTGAGATACCGGACTACAATCGGTACCAAGTATCTTGAGAAAGCGGCTGGGAAGTTGGGCCGACTCTCATGTAAAAACATGGCGATGTTTGGGACCTGCTCCATCAGCTCAGCTCGCACTGTGGGCTCTGAGTAAACACATTACATTATACAATTAATGAACAAAGATCAAATACATGTTACATTCAATCACAAAAGATTTTAATTATGCTTATCAAATTAAATGGAAAAATTTAATTGAGACTAATATAAGGTTGTTCTGGATTTATTAGATGAGCAGGAAAATCCATCTACCTCCATCTTCTGACATTCTGGCAACTGTCTCCATGACACTGATAAAGTCATTTTCATTGTCACTGAACTCCCGAAGCACATCAAGCAGGCCGCGAGCCACGATCTGCCTAGAAAGCAACAGGAGCTTCAAGTTAGTAGACCGCCTGCCAATACCTACAAGTGGTGAGTGCAAACAGCGTAACACACAACACTGACAGAGCTGTCAAGTGCACTACACACAGACACGTGTACTTGAAATTGACCAGAGGGCTTGAACTCTGGGAAGCCGAGCATGAAAAGCATGACGACAGGAGTTGAACACTTTTGTGTGGAGACAACAGGGCAGTATTTAACATTTGCAGAAGAGCTGTGATTGTACAAAACCACATACTGAGGACCTTTTACCAAGTAGAGAATCATATTAAAATCGATACATTAATCATTTAAAAATGTACACAGCAAAAATATTATATAAACAAGGGGAAGTATTGTTTCCCACACAGTTAGTTACTCTGGTAGTCAGCCCCAATATAAACACAAATACAAAAACTGATTCTTAATTTTTTTTTCCCCTAAGTAAATAATTTTATGGAAAAACAGCCACATTGAGACAAACACAATTCATTCAGGGCTCTACTTTTAGTCACGTGGCATTCCTGTACTATAAAGTCAGCACAGGTATGTGATTAATGAAGTACACAGAACAGTGGTTCAGATGAAAAAAAATATATATATACAGAAATTACTTGACACATGTCAATATCACATCTCAATTTCTGATGTGAGTTTTATGATACAATATAGAAACGGATCCCCCCCAGTGGAGTAGTAGAATCAACTGTAACATTAATCTTGCTCTACAGTACAGGCCCCTGACAGTCTGATAGTAAGGGTTTTATCTGGTTTTGCCTGAGCACAGGGTTTCACTTACCTATTGAAAACATTCTCACTGAAGGCATACTTCTCTAGCCTCCCGAGAGGGGTTAGGTTGTCTTGTCCAGCATCGAGGAAGGCTGTGATGCGGATTCCGTCACACTCTGAAGCATAGTCATCAAATCCGACTGGGAGGGAGGAATTGTGAAGTAATTTAATAAACACATAAGGTGGAACAATGTCAGAAATACATTTGTAATGCCTACAGAAACAAAACACTAATAATGACACTGACAGATGCACCACATTAATTACAATGCCATGCTTGAGCTACTGAATCAGGCTGAATGTCATGGCTTAATAACCTCCAACGGGTATATAAAGTAGAAAGGCTCAAGTGTAACTGATTATTCCATTAAATCGTCCAACCATAAATACACACTGACTTTGCATTTGGTTCTAAACACTGTTTCATCACCCTGGCTAATGCAACAACAGGGATTGCTGGTCTGTATAACAGCTAATAATAGCATGGTTTAAAACCTTGAAATGCTGTTGACAGCTTTAAATTTCACAAGGGTGAATGGGGTTGCCTAGAAAGATGACACTTCCATATATATACCTCCCCACTGAAGGGAAGAAAAACAAAGCTCAACATACAATATATACAAGAAATTAATTCATAAATCCAGGTGTTTTTCATGTGTTTTGAAGCTTATTAAAATAAACAGAGTACTCACAGTCATCCAAATCATCATGGCCATCTTCAAAGTATAAAGATAGACCTGCAAGGATAAGGCAATTAGAGGGATGGAAGGTCCATGGTGGCAAACTTGTCATCAACATACCATAGCAGTGTCTCTACACACCACTCTGCCCGACAAAATAAGGAGTTCTGGGTCGGAAGGTCTACAAGCTGCCAATTACGAAGAATGGACAAAGTCTCCTTCAAAACCACTGACAATTCATAGCACTGGTCACACTGATTAATCACTGTAAAACAGAAACTCTGTGCTTTCACGTGACATCAGAATCTTGATGTGAGAAGAATTCAAAACAAGTCACTTAATATCTGAGTATGTTTTTCCCGGACCCTAAAAAGAAAGGAAACATTTCCAACAACAAATTAAGTGCCGGAGCAGTTTTTTTTCTTTTCTTTTGGGAGTCAGTAAATTTGAACAGTCAAGAACACATCCATAATCCCCTCAGTGAGATATATGCTCTATGTCACAAAATTAATGTGATTGTCATCACTGGACATTCTGTTATACATAATGTTCAGTATTGATACCTGTCTATAACTTATACAATCCAATTCAACATTCCTGCAAAAATTGTCTCCTGCTTGAGGATTAAGGAGGTCAAACAGTACATAAACTCGATTCACATTTTCATGAATCCAATAGGTTTTAAAACAACAAATACTTATTTTCTGTTTAAAGTACTTCATTAACTCTACAACACCTCCAAGCTCAGAATTGTACTTCCACCCTTTAAAAACACTTCATGTGAACACTTGTTATCGTTTTGTGACAAGAAGAAATCTTACTATTATTTTAAGCTAACTAGGGCTGTAACTCGTGAATATTTCCATTACTCTTGTTTTTCCTTACTCTTGTTGAGGGTTAAAAACAGAGGATGTCGCACCTTGTTCAGCCATATGAGACAAATTGTGATTTGTTAATGTGGGCTAAACAAATAAAAGTTGATTGATTAATCTACTGATTTTTATGATTAATTGACCAAATGTTTAAGAGAATAGTGAAAATGTAAACTTCTCGCTTCTTTTCTTTATCTTCAACTTCAAAACTGTGAAACAACAGATATTCAGAAAACTGTCACATAAAGAAAAGCATCTCAAAAGTTAGGTGTTGTGACAAGAATTAAATGTGTTGCTTGAAAATTACTTTCAATGATTAATGGGTTGAGAAATTGCTATTAATTCTGTGGAGCGACCAATTGATTAATCGACTTATAATGTCAGATCTAATGTCAATAAAGAAAAGGGGGACACAAAAAATATAATGCAGCTACTAACCCAGAAAAAATGCTGTCTTTGAACACAATGTTTTTTTGGTGTATACCGAGACTACACGAATACTCTCTATCGCGTTTTGTTTTCAGTAGCATCCAGCTCGATATACAGAACAATAGCAAAGTGTGGTAGTCAAAAGAAAAATCAAGAAATAAAGCCCAGAGGGAGAAACGTGGTGTGTCGGCTAATGTCTGTGTTTACAGCTGGGCAAGCAAGGGAATGTGATCCAAATATAAAACAACTCGCATCTCAATCGGAAACAATAAACGTGGTGTTTCGTGAGTGAAGCGTGTAAAGATGCGAGTGGTTTAACAACCTGCATGAAAAAGCAGGTTGACAAAGCACGACATCTCCTCTTTGTTGTGCTATAAAGGAGGATTTGACCAGCTTATGGCTGAAAATGACTTTAGCAACTTGGCTAACGTTAGCTAGGTCACCTCGCTAGCTTGGCTACAACAACAGTTCGATAATAAACACGACTCGGTGCGCGCGGTAGTGTTTTACTCCTGGAGGTTTGGGTGATTCAGACACCACATCACACCTGCTCAGAAGTTAGCCGCTTAAATCACGCATCTGAGTCACTAATTTCGACACCGCTGAGTAGCTTTGGTTAGCTAGCTGGCTAGGCGGTGCTAAGTTTGCTAACACAGCTTGTGTCCAGCCCTTTCGCTTGACTTGAGGCGAACACTTCGCCAGGGAACAGCACAAAGGTGGTGGAGCGTGGGGGCCGCTGCTTTAACCGCTTCCACCCCTGGAGAACGCAACGTGGCTCCCTCGTAGCCCACGAAGCGTGAAAAGATAATTTAAAAAGTACCATTACCTGCCATCTTGAGTCTTGGCTCGACTCTGTGGGGCCGCCGTCCCGGTGTGGGCTGTCACCGCCGCACAGCTGTCACTCAAACGCGGCTGCAAACTACTTCCTGAGAGCACTTCCTGGTGCTGGCGTCCCCCACAGCGCGGCGCGTCCGACCACTCCACCGACAAAGTGCCTCTGAGCCGGGGCGCAAACTCCACATAGACCCGGTACGAACACGAGCCCGTGGGCTTTGTGTGCGTCTCACTCTCTGTACACGCACAAACACACGCACTTACGTACGCACGCAAACACACACGCATAATAGAGCCCAGCAGTCACGTGACCGCGCAGTTCAAGATGGAGACGGGGCCACTGGGAAGCTCCACTGTTAGCTAGTTAGCTCGTCGACTGCAAACCGCAAAATGGCAAACGTCAGCTAACCCGACGCGCTCATGTGGCAGCTGTCGCTTAGGATGAGGTAAAACGGCTCGTTCACACGGGACACCGGAGGAATTTTCAAGATACGAGGAGGAGAAAACTGTCAATGGTCGTGAACACCAAAACAAATCAGTTTTGACAGAGAGGAGATCGATATGGCGCTGAGGGAGCTCAAAGTGTGTCTCCTGGGGGTAAGTTAGCATCGATCTGCGTGTAAACACGTGTGTCTCTGGTTCATTGGTGTACCTGTAGCATCAGATGAGCGTCACTGCTCCACAACGAGGCTGGTTTGTTTACATGGCTTCAGTTTGCTCATAACAGTGATCAAGAGGGTGACAACACATGCACTTTATTCTCAATTAACTTACTGTACTTTAAAACACAAATGTCTGTCTCATTAACCACGTCCAGACTTCATACAACAACACCAGTAAGACACACACAGCAGAGATACATCCCCGAAACATTGTGTCATCCTCACATCATTTCCTCCTGCCCATCACCAACCTGCAAGATTTAAAATGCACTTTACATAAAGATAATCGATTGATTGTGAAGTTACTCATGAAGCAAAAATGACCAAACATTTTCTCCGTCCAGCTTTTCAAATGTTAGGAATTGCTGAAAAACACATTTTAAGTTGTCACCTTGGTCTCTGGGAACCATGTGCATTTTCACACGTTGTAGATGTTGTAGACCAAAGGATTTGTTTAAAAGCATGATAGATTAATGGAAGAAATGTGACTCACAATCCATTTTAACAATCTTAAAAACCATTACTGCTCTTACTTCTGCTATTTACACGTCTCACATGACAGCATTCAGACATGTCTAATTTGCCTATAACAAGAACATAAGCCATCATTTTCACAGTCATTCATTTGTATTCCTGAAGTAACGTCATCACCCGCATCCTTCACCACCTTATACGTTTTTAAATAAATAAAATACTGTAAATACATTTTACTGCATGTATCCTAATCATTCTCGACAGGAGCAGGAAGAAGCAGCAGCAGCCACAAATGTCAACAATGACTGTGTATAGCCAGATAATGTGCTTTTATAAACTTTTATAGTTTGAGTAACTGTTTCTGACCATGTTTAGTAACCATCAGCTTTATTTTGTCTCTGCAGGATACTGGCGTTGGAAAGTCGAGTATTGTGTGGAGATTTGTGGAGGACAGCTTTGACCCAAACATTAACCCAACAATTGGGTAAGTTCCTGTTGCTAGAGGTTATGTTTATTCTCTGTCTCTCTCATTCGTTGTGGTTTATGGGTGTTGGAGTGCATACATTTGCCTAAAGCACACCAGATGTAAATGATCATGTGGTCTGTCAATCAGTCATCAGTAGTTGATCTCAAGTATAGCTGAAAGAATTAGGTGATCAAATGTTTGGCAACAGCTTGCATAGTGTACCACTCTCAAGACCAAACTATCAAATTTTATCGATTTCCAGAGAACAAAATGTAGAAACGTGCCCCATCTTGCAAAGACACGATGGATTGATAACTGATAATTATGCACTGGCAGGTTTTTATTGAATTGCTATAATTAAATTAAATTTAAAAATTGTACTAAAACCACATTTTGATATCACCTACCTCAGAAATTTAGTTTGAAGCAGGCTATAATAAAACATTTCTATCCTGTTTTACATTTGACATGGTTTTTATAATAAAGCTGGCACACAGTCCAAGATATCTTCAATCTGCTGGGGATCAAAGTGAAGATGCATGTTTTTCCCAGTGTTTCCTGCTCTGTAAAATGAGTTGAAATAAACCTGTAAGATCGCGCTGTATTTTTTGTAAATCACTGAAATTAAATTAGTAATTTTACAATATAACTCTTGTTATTCGTGTCTCATGAAGCCATTTCTCTTCACCAGGGCGTCCTTCATGACCAAGACGGTGCAATACCAAAATGAACTACACAAGTTCCTGATCTGGGACACAGCGGGGCAGGAGCGGGTTAGTACTCTCCTTGCTTTTTTTAATGGGCCATTTAACAAAGCGCTGGAGGATTTACATGTGTTTTACGTCAACAACACACAGTTTTCATATGATAATAAAACACTTAAATTTAGCCTATTCAAAACTGTTTCTAGGGAAGTGAAAAAGCTGACGACACATACATGAGCCACTCCCTGAACCAGCCTGGAGGAATGTGAACAGTGTAGTTATTCAGTACTTCTGATAGGGGGCAACATTTACCTGTCTATAGGTATAGTTCTGCCCTGAATTAATACTTCTTGTTTCAGTTAGTTAAAATGGTGTGATTTGGATTTTCCTCCTTTTATTCAGTGTATTTTTTTAGTGTGTTAGTATGGTAGAAAAAATGCATCTGTAATCATTTGTCTCTTTTGTCAACTCTAAATCTTTGTCCTGCCTCTGATTTCAATCTCATTTCTTATCTCTCATTGCAGTCATATTTAGAACATGCCGTTGCTTTCCTTTTGTTTGATTATAAGTTGCACACGCCACTGAAATAGGTTGTTTTTTGGCAACTATCTTGTCCAGGTGCTCCCTCTTACAAAAGCTCTTGTGTGTCGCAGATGACTAAAACCATACAAACAGATCACACGTGATACTGAAAACAAGATACATCTTGGTGTCTGAGTGCAGTTGTGGTGTTAAAGCCTGTGAAATCGACTCCAGGCCTCAGACAGGAACTACTTTCTCTTTTGCCTCAAACCCTGCATCCCACATTTGTCTGCATTAGCTCTCCACATCACTTCCCCACACATCACTTCCCCTTCTTTGTGCATGTCCTCCCCTCTTTCTCATGCACAATCCCTTTCTCTGCTGCTGTCTTCTCCAGATAGGTGAGGTAGGACGCTGCTTGATTTTTATCTCCCACCCTGAAAGCTTTGCCCTCTTCACGGGTTGAGGGGACATCAGTGCAGCCGTGTTTAAGATAAGAAGAGAGGGGAGAAACACAAGCTGTCTCAGTCCGCTGGTGTGTGCTGCCACTGTGTCTTATCTGAGAGTCACTGCCTGAATGTCTGTCTTTTTCCTCTTTGTGTTTTCCTGGAAACAATCTATTTTCCTCCAATTCTTTTGTGTTCATTTCCATTTTTAGCACCTTTTATTATTCCCACAAATCCACTTTGTTCACTGAGTGTTTTGCATCTGTGCCTGAAAAAGTTGCAACATTCTGTTAGCTTCTGGTAGGTTTTGCACATATCTCTCTCTCTGTGTGTGTGTGTGTGTGTGTGTGTGTGTGTG